GTTAGTCGAAGGAACAGTCAAGCGACAATGTTCTTTAGCTAACGATGAGCTGAGGCAGACAAAAAAGTTTAAAAAGCCGCAAATCGATGTGATTCATATTGCACTATCCAAAATTCTATGCTGCTTATTTATTCACGGTATATTACAGTCTAGTCTGTATATACGAACTAAAATATGATTTGCAATATGAAACTGCCCGCGCGAGAGCGGGTACGTCAGCTAGTTATCCATAAAATGATTTGAATGTTTATGAGAAGTTAAAGATTAGTCTAGATAATTAAGTTTTAATGATTTAATTGTAATTAGTTGTTTCACAATGTACAGGGAAATGTTTGACAAAACACGCACAAAAATAGTAACAGACACTTTTTTCAACTTTTTTATCTTAGCCTATAATGAACATTCGAAATATGCCTCTTGTAGACTTATATATCTAAGAAAAAGAAAAGTGAAGCTGCGATGTTACAGTTTCCTTATTGTCATGACTAAGTATATCATTACTATCTATGTATATATATCAATAATACTGCTTAATAACAATAGTGAAATCGAAAGCTGGTTTTATGACCATTCTAGTCGACGTTCAACGAAACAGTATTCCTGTCTCTTGGTTTTCGATCGACACCCGATGGTGACTTTCAGAGTGACCTAGGTCAGGCCACCATTATCGGGCCCAGTCATAACAAAATTCGTCGGTCAAAGCAAAGAAGCTACGAGCACCGAAGTAGTAAAAAATCTTCAGGTTTATAAGTCGAAAGTACGAGTTTTTTAGTTTTGTAACTTATTTGTAACTCTAACTTGTAAGTCTAACCACTTTTAATAGTTTGTAACTTATACCCTGGAATTTTCAGCGTGTACGTATCTTAATTAAGTGTATAAGAGGTATTTGTTAAATTTTCACTATAGGATCAGAAAAAAATTGAAAAAAGGACTTCTTAATATTTTTACTATTTTCTTCGCTATTCCAACAATTGTAATTTTTTCGAAACAACGAAAACATGTCATCTAATAAGTTAATCCTTCTAGCTTCTCAAAAAAACTCAAGTCGTTTGGTCCAATTTTTAAAACAAAATACGTACTGGAACAGGTGCAGACGCAGCGAAGATGATACGCTAAGTACGCATGCGACAGCAATCAGTTGTTAGTACAAAATCTATCTCCGCTGGGCGACGAATGAAAGATTGACAGAGCGTATGCGATTAATTGTGTTCCTTTTGTGTCTCTTTTATGAAATATTTGTGTAAGTATATAACACCTGCGTCAATTATGTCAATAAAAAATAAATAAATATCATTTCCAACAAGAGATTTGTATAGTATTCCATGTTTTTCGTATGTGGAATACCCGGAATATATATTGTGCCATTTTTACAATTTGTTTCTCGAGAATATCATGTCAAGTATCTCGTATGTAATTTCATTAATTAAAAAAATAAGCATCATTGCAAGTACGAATAAGAAGGTTCATCCTTGCACACATTAGTACGTATTGTTTAATTCTCGGATTTCTTTCCCTCGCGTCGTTATTTCCTACGTTCCGCGAGAATCGAAATCTCGCCACGAGCCGTAGGCCGTAGCTGTTCCATCGTTCTCCTGACGGGCAGAATTGTCGAATGGCAACAGCGTAACAAAACAATCGATACGATCCACCACGTGTTGCGAGGTTACATTTACCGACTCCCTCTGTTTTATCGATGCTCGTGGTAACGCAGGCCAAAGTGACTGACAAATACCATAAACGCCTCTATCGGAGAATCCTTGAACTATACCACTGTTTATTTCTGTGTCTGGACGCGTCGAATCGTAAATTCCAACTTCTGCGTTCCAGAAGTGATACAGTGACAAAAATTGGATTTCTACGATAGTGTGATAGTGGTGTGTAGGGTGGTCTGGTCTGCGTTTGACGAAAAAACCATTAAATCGTGAGATATTTGACAAAATGTGACTTGTGCAGCCATCTTGTGTGTTTTCATCGGCGTCTGTCACAATCGCACACTTTCTAAAATTCTAATTCTTTCAATTAAAATGTGTTTATTGGTGTTTATACGGACCAGACCACCCTGTAGGGAAGTCTACCCGTGAGTTCTATACCCGTGAAAAGTTCATTTGTGCAATTGTTCAGACAGAAGTTGGAATTTACGAAATCGATTATCTCTCTTGCACATCGCATATACATACACGGTTCCCGTTGATTGTGTGAGTGCACGGACACAGCGCACGGGCCACGGAGTCTCCCCCCTTAAGCGTGTTATATAAATTCGTGATAAAAATCTATGTACTGTGATATATTATACAAATAAATTGATACTATTTTTATCATTTTCTTATACATACAGGAGAATTTGAATTTTTTTATTAATACAATGAAATGTTTGTACCAGTTATATTATTTATATTTTGTAGATGAATTGAATATTATGAAACGGGAACGCAATTTAAATAAGTTGTTGTTAGTTCATAACGTGGTTTATACATACAGAAAACTTTTATCCTTTATTTAAACTGGAAATACGCGCTGCGATTGGTAGGCAATGCTTCCGCGGGAACTCAACCGGCAGACTCGCACTCTGATTGGTCAGGGTTTTTCGTTAATATCTCGTTAACGAAGCCTCGGATAACATTTTTGCTAAGGAAAAAGTTATTTCAAATCATCCCAAGAACTTCGCATTTCTGGGAGTCGAAGCTATTTTGGGACACCTTGTATGATAGACTACGCGGTCCTATGGTACCAATTAGCAATGGCATGCAAAATCACTAACGGTGATATATCACAGTGATCGCCGAATTACGATCACGGCCATGATTTAACTTCAATCACGATCACGGCATCACGGTCGTGATTTAACTTCATTCACGACCGTGATTGCGATTTTTTTGAGTGAATTTGCTCACTGCGATCGTAAATCCTTGATCTTTAAACAGAAAAACGATTCAATATGATTTTATGATGAATTACATTACTATTTGTGTTTTTAAAAATCAATAGAAAAACAAGAAATTCTAAAAGAATGAGTTGCTAGGTAACATGTAGAATATAATTTTTAATTATTAATTTATTCATTATTTTTTATTGTTTCTAATTATTCCTTCACTTTATACGATATAACTCGAATGTTTGTTTCGATGTCGTTAATATAAAATATACAGGTTATGTGTCACGTGTAAAGAACTGTTATGTTCTTCCACCAATTAGAAACGATTACAAAAAATCACGAATCACTTTGAAAAATCACCGTGATTGGGAACATAGACATATACAGACGGGACATTAACTGAGCGGGGGAGTAAGATTCGCGGTAAGGGGGTGGATAATGGTAAATCGGGTAACTTCGTTCCTTTTCAGTGCTATTCCGGTATACAATCACGTTACATACATGTATACTACGAGAGATGAAAAGAATCTACCTATTATACGTTAAAAATTCCATGTGTCATGTAATTTGTACAGATATATGTACTTAACAAAACTAATAAATAGTACAAAGCATTAAATAATAGTATGACACACAGCCCACCAGCCATTAATAACGAACCGAATGCATTCGAAGCTAACCGACGTACGGTACGTCACGTACCTCTAACGACCGCTGCCTTTTCCCCTCCAATCCTACGGTCCCTAGACGAAAGTGGTAGCTTATGCTCCGTCTATACATATATGTCTATGATTGGAAACGAACGTGATCGAATCACTCGTGATTCACAAGTAGCAGTTCACGCCATCTCTACTTCTGCCTTCTGCCCACGTGTGCCCTTCGGTCATACTTCATCCCTACCATAAGACGCGCAGTCTACCAGTCTACTATGTATATGTATATGCCTATATCACAGACGAGGTATAGGAGTAGACATTTCATCCAACGTATTTTTCCGGCCCACTTTTCTGGGATTACGTACCCCATTTCCATTTTAGTGTCACTATCCACCGCAGATTCACCGTTCTCAAAACGTAGAGGTCGCTAAAATCATAGACTTTTTAAGGTGTCGGTACTACAGTTTCGGTGGGCCACCAACTCCCATAAGATGAAATGTCTACTTCTATACCTTGTCTGTGCCTATGTATAGGAGCTAATGAGCATCAATGAGCACCACTGACTGGGAGAGTGGACTCCTCTACGAAGTGGTGATGGAGGTCCGAGTTTATTATGAATCCGAGGAAAAAGGAAGATATGCGGTGAACCATTCCTTCTTCTTTCTATTAGCCTCTCTACCTGACCAGTGGGAAGATCATTATTGTAAACAATATCATAGCACCATCTAGGATACAGAATATGATACTAATTCGCTAGTAGCTTACGCATTTTAGCGTAGATGACGCCAAGAGTTGTTTGACCATTTTTCTGATACATACAGAAAATTAAATATTAATTAAAAATACTACTCGACAATAAACAAAAGACATTGTATACCATCGAATAAGTAAACATAAGAGTTCTTATTCCGACTGGTATTTGTCAGTTTGTCAAAGTCTAGGGTGGACATCTATGTGTTTTAATCGATGGTGTACCCCGCGAGCAAACTCGGCTTCTGCTAGGGGAAAAAGTGATATAGGCCAAGGGCCTGCTACCATTTAATTTTGGGAGATACTGAAATTTATGCCAAATTAACAATCGGTTTAACATTTATTTCAGAACTTGAAATAAATTTACTAAGTGATAGGAGACTTTTCTTCTACGCCATTTTTTCCCCTAGCAGAAGCCGAGTTTGTTCGTAGGGTATATGCGCTATACGTATAGAACTGTATACAACAGTATATGCATTCGTGCCTCTTTCATTTTCATAATATATGTACATTTTACGTGAAGAAATACGTGTACTCTCATTAAAATAGAAAATTAATAATTCTATCAACATTAACTACTTCGTAAATATGATGTAGAAAATCGCCACATATAAGCTAAAGATGTAAAAAACCGTTCATAAATAACATAAGGCGTTCGTAATGTGTCGATTGATCGCAACGACATCTGCCGCTCGTCTCGCTTGGAATTGCTTGGAATGCATCTTCTGCATTTGGTGCGGCTCAACGAAGAAAAGTCTTCAGAACAATCTCCATTCGTTGAACGTCACGCGGAAGTGAATCACCGAGATTCGTGGCAGAAAATGCAAGTTTTCGAGTTGCCGCGGTGAGAAAAGTGAGTGTCGTTGTCTGGAAGGGTTCATGAGCCCGGTGATTGTCGTGAGATTCCCACAAGTAGAGCCGCTCACTGGGTGGGCAATTGATTTTCAAAGTGACCGTCGGCCGCAAGCGAATGAACGCCTCTGACGCTTCGGGTACGCGTAGCAGCCAGCGCTGCTAGAGTTTTAGATCTATTCCGAGTATCGTCGAATAAAAGTTTTGTGAAGCCACGTTAAAAACGAAAAAAAGAAAGCAATTAAATAAAATATATATATATATATTTATATAAAACTAGTGCCAAGGTGTGTACCCAACAAATGGAAAAAGCGAGAAGAGCCGACCTTCGCTTTTACTGAAAGAAAGGAGCGAAGGAGGCTATACGCGTTACATACCGGTTCGAACTCTTTCTCTCTCTTTCTCTCTATCACCTCGAGCTTGCACTTGAGGTATTCCGCGATTCTCGATGTATCCGTTACGACACCAGTACGGTGTTACCCGGGTAATATCTGAAATGGTGTCGCGAGAAATACGGCGGTTCCGCCGGTCGCGAAATCGCGCAGTCGGGCCTTCGCGTGACCTTGACGTACCCGTTACTCGAGCCACAAATTCCGTGTCGCGTCTCGTCGGTGTGGCTCCGAGTCGTACGCGACAAGATATCCTCGGGCGTGTACCGAAAAGGTGACCGTTCCGCGCTCGACATCTCCGACGATGTCTCGATACTCATACCGACAAAAGCTTCGGCCGCCGCGACGTACACCGAATTTTCTCGTCCTCTGTGTGTACGAGCGGTGTTAACATCGATGGCCGGTTTTGTCGTGTATCGGTAATCGGCTACGCGAGTGCCGCCGGGTATGGTATTACCCGGGTAATGCCCGAGAGAAACTTCACGTTTCATGCGTATTCGGTTCGGTAAACGAGAAAAAAAAAACAGCCAAACCGCGGAAAACTTGGACACGACCGAGCTCTCGGTTCTCGCGTGCACGCGACGCCTTCGAAAGGCGATCTCTGAATTTGGTTCGACTCATTGAAAGTCCACGGGACCAACATTTATGGATCGTGGATCGAAGCGTACTGCAATTCTGGACATGCGGAGAGTGGCGATGGTAAGGCATCGCGACGGGTGATGTCCAGTACCACATATATGGATTTCGCGAATTCAAATTCTGAGAAACGCTTTCGATCGGGAATACTAACTTTTCCGCTGCTTGACCACTGCGGATGATACCTATTTGTGACGTATAGAATTTTTAACGTAGGCCAGTCGACCCAAAGGACGAGTGGCACTGGTTCCTCTAGCTGTCTCATGGCGATTAATTCAACGTATTATCATCTTTATGGCCGTTCTATTATGTTTTGAGAATTAACGTGTTCACTGCTCTCGCAGGAGTTTGGATCACCAGTTTTCGCTCCTCCAGTGTCATCTATATTATCATCTCTGTAAGGTAAACACCTTTAAAATCACCACTTTATAATGTAAAAACCTGTATAGTACACGCCTCCGTGTTGTAATGTTATAGCCTCGTAGAGATATAGCGTGATCGTAGATTAACACATCGTACGGCGGCCCTCAGGGTTGTACCCTGTTGTAAGATTCTGCACAATAAAAAAACGACGATTTATGGCTGTATTTCATTTACACATAGAAAAATTGAAAATATTTGGAATTTGTGTTTTAATATAGCATATAAGGTACATTGACTCTGTTTTAATCATTACTCTAAATATCAGGCCCTTGTTTCTACGGTTCAACTGATTTTACAACCACACTATATCTCTGCGAATTAGTATGTTAAAGATTTACATAAATAATGATAGAGAATAAAGGATATTTATGTCTATCAATTATCTTACAGGAATGTCACGGGACTATGATAGACGAAGAGGAGGCAGCGGTAGTGGTAGCAGCTCGAGTAAATTACGGATGGATACCAGTGTATCACAACCCAGACCACATGGTGAAAATTCTGGGAAGAGGAGAGAATTAGATAGTGTGATGCGGAAAGCTCGTGAGTCTCAATCAAGTTATTGGAATAAAAAGCTTCTGGAGGTAGAGGAACGAGACCCGAATCGATGGAGGCACAGCGGATACAAAGAGTTGTATGTTGGAGGCACAGCAAGTGGAGAACCCAGCAGAGGACATCCTCGCAGTCCGAGAAGTCCTAGACCCAGGAGTCCCCATAGTCCAAGACCGCGCAGTCCTCGAACTAGAAGTCCACGTTCACCTCGCGATAGATCGCATACCAGAGGAAGACAGGCACGCAGTCCAAGTACAGGCAGTACTTGTTCCGATAGATCGTGTAGCGTTTGTTCGCCGAAAGAACGGCGTCGTATCGCCCAGCCTTCGCGTTCGCGTTCAAGATCACTGACACCAGTTCGAGCTCGAGCACATCCTAAAGAAATAGTACCGTCGAGTTCCCGAGTAATGCCGGCTCGAACTAGACCACGGTCACCTCCTTTGCCACGTCCACGCACACCCCCGCCTACACCACAACCCCCACCGCGTCACCAAAAGGATTACAAAGCTATTAAAGAAAAAGAAGCCAAAGTTCGACGCAAAGAAAAGCATCATACTCGAATCCCAGAAGATCCGCGTGTCCCAGATCCAATACCATTGGTAAAACATATTTTTGTTGATGTACATAATTATGATGTATGGTCCTCTAATGTAGCGACTGTTCTTTTCACTTATATTACTATTCCTTATTTAGTTTTATTTTCATTCAGTTGCGATTCCAATATGTAACTATTGAACTTGTGCAGATGCGTAAACCTGTAAAGGTAGAAAAAACACACTCAAGTCACGGAGCAGCTCAAATGATTAGGCCACCACCTGAATCCTCACCAAGCGAAGATAGCGATAGTTCTTCCACTACATCGCACGTGGGTCCACCTAGAATGACATTATCAGAACGGTATGGTTTCAAGCAACGCATAATACATTCTGAAATTGTAATATTATTTAAAACTTTACAAACTGGTCTTTTATAATGAAGTCGTATTTGATCATAATAATAATTAGTATGATATGTTACAACTTTCTTATAGATTTGGCAAAATGGCACAATGGAGTGTAGATCGCAGGGATATGGAAAACATGCGCATCACAAAGGATGGGGAAAATGCGATGAAAGTTGTAATAGAGGGTGAAGAAAGAATTGCAAGATTAGGATACGATTCTCCACCACCAGGACATTATCCTGAATCACTATTAGCACAAGGACCAAGAGGTCTTGAATGTTGGGACGATGTTCGTGTTAGATATGATTATTACAAAGCGAGAGGTTACCTTCGAGACCTTACATTAGACGACTACATAAAGTGGGAAGAATGGTGGTATAAATATCAAGAATGGTTAGAAGCAGAACGATTTTATGAGCAATGGGCCTCATCAAACCGTCCTGCTGGTGGAAGTCGCAAGAGACGTGGTAGACGTAACAACACTGCTCACTGAACTCCACAAGCCCAGTTACAAACCATTCTTGATTCATAGACATTGTCATCAATAAAACATACTGTAATATTTGTTGTGCTTAGAAAGGACTGCAGATATGGTGTGCAAATGCTCTATTACATACATAAATACATACCTATATGAAAACACACAAAAATATATATACGTATATGATTATAATAAAAGGTATGACTGTGCTGTAAAAACCTCATTCTCATCGGTTTATTAAGTAAAATTTAATATACAAAATTTTTGTTTCTTATTTTGTTTGTCTTTCGTATTTGATGTACACTGAAATGTATAAAAATGTATTCTTTACGCTTCCCAAAGTATTAACACTATTATAAAAAAAGTGATTTGTACATGTTTTCTTTCTTAAAGTATTTATCATTTTATCTTGAAACAATTTTTCTTAATCGTATTAAATACCTTTAATTCTAAAGTTTTAATTAACTTTATGAATTAATAAAGTTTTGCTTTTTAATAAAAGCATCAGGAGTTTATTAATTATATAAGGCGTTGTCAAGATCATAGTATAAGAAAAAATTGATTCTTTGTACAGAAGTAACACATTTGTATAAAAAAAAGTTTCATTTAATTCCATATCTCAGAAAAAATCAATTCTGTTTCAAACATGCTTCTATTCTCATTTACGAATATTTTGAATCTAAAATTATTATTAAAAATATTACCAATATGTAAGGCAAATTGAAAATTTATTTATAAATTTATGTGAAAATTATCATTGTATTGGGCACATTTAAAGAACGTACGTAAATTTAAAAGTTAGATAAATTGCATGAGATAAGCATTGCCCCGAGAAAGGGTTAAAGGTTTATCAGACTAAATGTGAATATATAAGTAACGTATGCATAACCACTGAAACAGTACTGTTTAAAGTACGTAGTGAATACGTTTAAAGTGTAACGGTGGTAATCATGGCATCAAAGAAGATTGTACGAAAAATAATATCATCTTCATTGAGTCCAAAGCCCGTCGGACCGTACAAGTAAGCAAGTGAAATATATTGTGCACAAATATTTTGAATTATTTAATAACTGTTCTTTACACATATCTTTTCGTTGTGGCGTTTCGAATAACTTAGTACAAACAACTTTTATTTTGGTAGTCAAGCAGTACTTGCAGACAGTACTTTGTATTTATCCGGAGTTCTTGGGGTCGATGTGAATACTAATAAACTTGTCGACGGAGGTGCCATTGCTGAGGCTCGTCAAGCTCTTAAAAATATGGGAAATATTCTGAAAGAAGCTGGATCAAATTATGACAAAGGTCATACTTATTTGACAAATAGATATTATTTTTAAAAAAATGGTTTTACATGAATTTTTGTCTCTGAGTTGATTACAATTCGTTTCAATTTTCAATTCTAATTTGTACATAATGAATTGGCCATTTCGTGAGTATGACTAACACAATTTTATATTTTTTTACAGTTGTTAAAGCAACCATCTTTTTAAACGATATAAATGATTTTGCCGGAGTTAATGAAATTTACAAAGAATGTAAGAATAATCCTAATTCCATTGAATCTTATGTTACTGACAAATCATATTTGATGTTTATTTATCTTTGTTTCTATTTATACAGTTTTCACACAAAATTATCCAGCTCGTTCTACATATCAAGTTGGAAAGTTGCCTATGGTATGAAAGAAATGTTTTATATTTTGCACAGTAAAGTTTGTTAATATTAATTATGTACAATATTACAGGGAGCTCAAGTTGAAATTGAAGCTATTGCTGTTGTTGGAGAAGTAGAAACAATTTCTATGTTGTAAGTCAAGATTATGTTACAAATATGTTACATCTCAAAGAACTATATGTTATTGTTTGTTTAAAATTTTGAATAGTGTACTAAATAGATTTTTTGGATCTATCAATATAAGGTATCTATATGATATCTTGAAAAAAGATCATTTGCTCATATTTCATACTACAGTTCTTGTTGCTACATTGTACTGTATCAAATATTGCTGTGTTTTGTACTATGGAAATGAATGTATGCACATACAAAAAAAGATTATGAATACGTCATATACTGCTTTTGTATTCATTTATGTCTTTCCTATAAATTATGCTACAGGTATCTTATACAAATATTTAACATATATATATGAATAGACAACATTAAAATAGTGTTAATTTGTTATTTATATTAATAAATTTATTATTTATTATTTCATAAATCCCTGAAAGATTCAATAGTTCAATTGTAAGTTCCTTTTTTCAGTTACGCCACGGACGAAATATAGGAGTAGACATATCATCCAATGTACTTTTTCAATCCATTTTTCTGGGGCACTTCATCTGGATTCGTTCGATTCCAGGGGCCGCAGAACCCCAACACCGTTGAATTGTCACTACTCAATAGAGATGGCGTGCAAAATCAATAACGGTGATTTATCAGAGTGATTGCCGAATCACGATCACGGTCGTGATTTAACTTCATTCAAGGCCGTGATTGCGATTTTTTTATCTTGAGTGAATTTGCTCACTGCGATCGTAAGTCATTGATCTTTAAACAGAAAAACGTATTCAATATGACTTTACGATGAATTACATTACTATTCGTGTTTGTAAAAATCAGTAGAAAAAACAAGAAATTCTAAAAGAATGATTTGCTAGGTAACGTAGATTATAATTTAAAATCACTAATTTATTCATTATTCTGCATTGTTTCTAATTATTCCTTCACTGTATACGATATAACCACCAACTAGGTATGGAATATACCTACATATCATCCAATACTTTTTCTCTGTCCCACGTTCATAGGGTACATAACCCTGTTACCATTTTAGTGTCAATACCCGACGTTACCGATAAAGCATGAATTCTGAGTATTATTAGCACAAATGAAGTGTTATATATTCCATTCATATTACTGTATCTATATGATTTGACGGTAATAAAAATATCCGATGCTTCAGTTTAAGGTTAAGGGACACATATGACAGTCATGAAACGGAAAAGTATATATTTTTTCACTTAACTACAAGACAATTTATTCTAAATGCATCGTTAATGGACATTTTTATTAATGTTACTTTTTACATGTTCTTGTTTTATTCGTTTTTATATCTTTCCTTACATTTGTATATTTGTAACAGATAAATTCAGAATAGATGTAGTTTCATAAATAGTTTATCAAATCTATGTGGGAGAATATATATACCACTTTCATTAACATCTACATATTTATAATTTATATGGGAGTGTGTATAGTTTTATTGCCTATTGTAAGAATTTTAATACGCACGAACAATTACTTTCTGGCAATTGGTAAATTTTTACATATGAATTTACTTACACGTTATTTACTTCCAAAAATTTTATTTATTGCGAGTAATTAAATAATGAACGTATGTTAATATTCAGCTACGTGTCTCTCAAAGTAAGTGAAATATAGAAGTTTTCTTGAAAATTAGTGTCAAAGAATGCAGCAACTGGTCAGATTAGTTTCGTAAATAAATTGAAACCCTCTATCGGCACACTGTTTTTTAGGCTATCAAATATCATACGGAGTCTTTTAGAAAGTGGTAAAATCTTTTACACAAGTTCAATGAAATACTTTCAGGTACTCAGTTTAGGGCTATGAAATTAGAATGTTCAAGAAGAGGTAAAGAACTTTCATATTATTCCCATTCATTACAATTTCCCTTGCGGGAATGCCTTACCGTCTCGTGGCCCCGGAATTCCGGGAATCGGGTGATGACGTCACGGCATTCGAGCGAGAGCGGTAGAGCGAGCTGCGGCATCGGTGCTCTCCGTCGGTGTGATGCGTGCTGAGAAATTACAGGGGTCTATGGGGGGAGATGTGCGAGCGAGAGAGTACGGTAGAGCGTGCCGTGGTATCGGTGCTCTCCGTCAGTCCAATGCGCTAGTGACGTTGCGTCCTGGTCGTACCATCTGGTGTTTGGGTCGTTCAAGGAGGAAGGTCGTTCAAGCCGGCAAAAACAATTCAACACGAACAAACCTGCGTACGCCCAATACATAACGGCGTTAGCTTCCTCACTTTCTCGTGAGCCGTCGCG